TCCGATTCTATTCAAAATTAGAAGGTATCTGGGGTTTTCCGGGGTTGGAGATAATGATTGTTTCGTCAAACTTGGAAAATTCAAGATGGTGAATCCAATATAGAACGAAAGAAATTCCTAATTATGATCTGCTTCTATTTAAGATTGGTATCTGGGGGTTTTCGGGGTAGGAGATGATGATTTGTTTCGTCAAAATTCGAAAATTCAAGAAGACGGATCCAATATGGCGAAATACATTAGATTATATAATTATTACTCTACCACAAATACAAAATATTTAGGATGCAAGAGTGAAAATAACGTGTCTGTAAGTTATACTGCGTATACCTACTTCTCTGTTACTTTCATCAATAAATTATTCGAAAATTACTTTTTATTCAGGGGAGAGACGGAAAAATCATATGTATAACATTGGGGTAAAGTATATTGTATCATTTATTTTCCTGCACATTTAACGTATCATACTTTTCATCAGCCTTGAGCCTACTTTTCGTCCCAGATGAAGTTTTATACATAGTGTCATATTAGTCACTCCATAAATTCTTCTCAGAATTGTATTTCCGAAAATATATTGAGCACACATGACATGAATACAGTATTTCAGATACCCACATCGAGGTTTCCACCATTTCTCAATCATAAGTCTTAGCTCATTCAGCTCATAGATAAACTTCTGCTCAGCTTGAAGTCAGAATTCATTTAGTCAATCAGTCAACCCTAATTTACAGTCTAAAAACAGTCTCTTTTGCTGAAATATATTAAAGCTTTCAGTACAATTTATATGATTCCTACCTCGCAAAGGTTATGCTGGAGTAGTAGTCTCTAAAACTAGAGGATTGTTTACCTATATCTTGGTATGAATTCCATATCGAAATTACGTATGATACGCCAGTGAACTCAATATAACCTAAAAAACAACAAATGTCAAAAATCTAGTGTTTATCCCCAGAATTGAATAGGGATGGAACTATATAACTGTTTCACAAACACTTTAGAGTGAGAGGAGACGAGGATCTGTCCGTACCCTGTTAAGATGACTTTAACGTCAATTTCCATCAAGGAACCCTAGGGTAAACGTGTCATGTGTTTGTACAGGCTTTTTCATTTTGGATGTTCTCACGAGATATCTCAGGCAGTTTCTCTGATAAAGAATAGCTCTTTTCGCGACCATTGGCTGATACTATTGTGATACTCGATGATATTCGATGATATTTCTGATATTTTGCTTTACTTGGTGGAATCTAATGATATCATGATATTCCATGATACTAATCAGATTCTCTGGTCTCTTTATAATTCTTGTTGTTTATGTCGATGAATAGGCCTGAAACTCGATGTGGTTTTATTCATCGAGTTGTACTGGCACTGCCATTTGAGAATTTTTTTTCGTATAAAAAAATATATATTCTTAAATGGCAGTGCCACTCATCTGTTTTCTAGCTGAGAGCAGCCGTCCGCACATGTGACTTATACTTTTATTTATTTTCGTTTTATAGTAATCAATAAAGAAGGAAGTTAACTAGAAGAGTGTGACAATATCATCAATTTTCTTATATCATCAATTGTCAAACTCACCCTATTGCCGACTGACTGTTTCGTCAGACACTAGTTCAAACTTCACCAACATTTATTATTCACAAATATTTGGCACTGTTCCATTACTTTCAAAGCTCTGGACCTGATTAGTAGGTGGCAATGAGGAAAAGCAGGTGCAGAATGTTTTTTGTTAGTGTTGTCACCTGACGAAGTTTGCGAGTTTTCCATATAATGGTGATTAATGATAATTCAGAATATCAAAACAACAGAAGATTATACATATTATCATATCATGGTTGGAATATAAGTTGATTTCAGTATTTTCGTATAGTTTTGATTTCCTGGATCATTATTTTCCATTGAATTGAATATATTTGAACAGGTGACAAGAATAATTATAAAATATCCTGCTCACGCATTTCATACGATTAGCTACCTACTGATCAGGTCCATAGCCTATATTGTCAATGAATAGTAGTAGAAAGTTGGTGAAATTTGAACTAGTGTGTGACGAAACACTTTCACAGCAACAACGTTGATATGAAAATTCAAGATATTCAAAATATTGCTACACATCCACTAGGCGGATGAATAAAAAATATAGTGAAGAATTATGAATTTTCCAATACTCAAAATATCGTATAAGTTTGGTATATTGCCTGAGAGCGCAAAGCATCAATATTTCAAATTTGAAAGAAAAAAATTTACAGAGTGTTTCAGTTGAAATGATGAAATTCTGGGTTATATCCAAATGCTTACATCTTATTTTGAGGATCTGACCACGCCACTGGATTCCACGTGAAAAACTGTATGAGTGAACATTATTCTTACTTCCTCTACTTCCTCCATAGATAGATAAATAGGTGTTTATTCGACCAAGTTACAGAATGAATTTGTTTTTGTCAGATCAATTGTGGAAGAACAGATCATGAAATACCTTCACTTCACAGTTGATTCAATGAATGAATCGAAAAATTCATCTTATGTCAATCAATGCGCTGATTAAACGGACGACCTGTCCGATATATTCCTAAGGACAAGATCCACAGTTGACTCTGTATACCTATGATTATTTGAATTCGAAAGTTTTGTCTTCATTATTTTTGATAAACCTTCTCAATGTGTTATTTGTTCTATTCGCTACTCTTGAGTTCTGTTTAGGTAGAAATTTCAAAAAGGAACTCAATATCTTGAAACAGATTGCAGTCAACAACGGATTCAACTTCAATCTGATAGACAGTATTCTTTTTCAGGAACTTTATAATGAAGCTATCCAAGAAGTTCATCCTACCATCAAGAATAATAATCAAAATTATAAAACATCAATTTATTTCGGATCATGAACTGGAAAATTAGCTACATTTTTTCATACACAGGACTTGACAGTAGCGTATAGAACAGATTACACGTTGGCATTGTTTATCAAAAATATTGAAGACAGAACTCCTGAATTCAAAAAATCAGGGGTATACGGAGTCAACTGTGGATCTTGTCTATTTTTCTCAACGATTGATTAGACCCCAATAGTTCACCAATGTTGAATTTGTTAACTTCGTAGGTAATGATATTTATTCGTTATCAACCCTTTCAAGTTGATCCGGTATACTATAATTTGATGTAGATATTGTGCCATTTTTTCGAAAATGGAGGTTCATCGATCCTGTCCATAGGTAATTAATCCTTCGGGTTAAGAAAGTAGGATATTTGAAAGTTAAGCAAGCCAGCGTTGGTTTAGTTCATTGCACCAGTATATCACATGACGAAGCTTCTGTGTTAGTGAGACATGTTATTCAAGAATTTTGTGGAAATCTTATCGTTTGTGAAGTTTTTACAATTCTCTCTCATATATCTGTGATGATGTCTTTCAAGTCATGAAATAATTTTGTTTCTCTTCTTTCAAAGGTGCTTGGATACCTTCTATGAAAGTTGCCATGAACTTTATTACTCCTGTCAACGTTGGGAAGTCAAGACCACCCCTGAACAATTTGACAGAAGCACAAGAGGAAGAAATAAGAGATTCGCTGAAAGCAATATCTGTATTGTAGATACATCATGAGCTATAGTCTAATATATTTCTATGGAATACTTGCTTCACCTGTTCCTCATTATATATAATGAAATAAGTCTCTGATGACGTGCTGGTGACGCCTTATCACTTCAGTTGAATGTCCAAGGTGACGCCAGGAGTTGACATCATATGACGTTATAAATGACGTCAATGAGTAACAACCCAATGAATTCATACGCGGAGAAAAATGTCACTTGGTGAATATTCAATTCTGGCAACTGAAATCTTTCATACTTCATGGGGACAATAAAACAAGTAATAATAGCCACTAAAAGATTCATGTTACTGGAAATTCACACTCACCACTATGAACCTGCTACAATGAATTTTAGATTTTTCACCGTCAGTGAACACAGCACTTGTCGTCAGTGACTAATGTACTTGTCATTATTGACTTATTCACCTATCATTACTGACTTGTCATTAGAAACTTGTTCAATTGTCATAAGTAACCTAATCACATGTTATAAGTGAATTATTTTTTCAACATCTGTTACTCATTCACTTGTCATTAGTGACCTATATACCTGTCATTTGGTAGGTACTATGAGTAAATACAGATAATGTTTTCTAAAAAATGATGAGCTCAGTAAATAGACAAAACTTATACATTCTAAGAATCAATTGCATATCAATGATGAATTAAGAGATCACAAGAAGTAATGCCGACGACTCATATTGAAACACTAGATACAGGGTATATCGAGATCATGGGCCAAGGACAACGGTCCTCCAGATGCACTCGTACATTTTTTTCTTCAGTTATTCAGATGAAGATGTGACATCACCCTATGTGTGTTTTATTCGTTGAAATGCTGTAGGCGGCGGCCTGATGCCGAAATTGGGCCTGAGTTCGGTCTACGCCAGACGGTAGGTCTTAAGCATGAGATAAGGGTATATTGAAAATTCCACAATGGAATGGAAAAGACACTGATTCCAAGATCAGCTGTTTATTGAATCTAAATAAGAACATAAATGGAATGAAATGACACAAAATGTTTGGAAATTTTCTTAAAAACGAATTAATGTATGCTATTCAATGAAGTTGAAGAATCGAACTAAACTAGAGAATTGTAAAGAAATCAAATGAAATCATTCTAATTGAGAAACGAATATCTAACGTGAAAAGGGGCTATGTACTACCTTGTGTGATCATACGCTGCTTCGAAGCTAATTAACAACATTCTCATCCCAAAATAGACTCAAAAAGGTATTGTTAGTGACGTTTGAAAAGAAATTGGTTTCCTTACTCTTTGAGCTTTCTATGAGCTAATTTTCCTATTTGTTGTACGCCGCTACAGGCGAACACCTCTCGCCTCTCAGGGTGGACAATGAGATTCTCCAAGTTCTCACTTAAACCACCATATCGAACTCCCGTTTTCACTCTTTCTTCGCTCGTTCCGCAAAATCTCATTCCCTCTTCAATCTCCACCAAAACAGAAAAATCCTATTCCCATTCTATGCTCGCCAATCCGGTGATCTTCGTCTTCAATTTTTCAGTCGCGATCTTCATTCCCATTTGTCCAAGATTGAATTTTCCTCTTAGTTGCCGCCCATTATGATTATGGCCGCTATGAACTTTGCTTATGTCTCAGAAAGACAGCCTGCCTGAGAAAACCTACAACTTCATCTTATCATCATTTCTCAGCATCAGCACCTTATGATAAGGAATTAAATGATAATCATTCTTTCATATTCTCGACCTCACGGTACTAATCTTGCTCAGGAGTTCGGCGCTCTTTGCGACTTGATCTGAGCCACAATGACATGTATGGATATAATAAGGTCCTATTGTTTGGAACAAACAAACTCATCTCCAAGTCGTCTGTATAAGAAAATGATTAAGTTTCGAGAGACCATTTCCAATGCGAAGCAATTCACATACAGGGTGCTACAATACTCCCCACAAAGGAAAAGTTTCGGCCACACCATGCCATCACTTTTCCACATACCTATGACTACAAACGAATCCCTAACAATTTTTCATCACTTCAAGGAGACAAACAGTGTCTCTACATATATTTCACCTTATATCTGAAGCAGAAAAATTGAATTCTAAACTCCTAAACAACATCAAAATGCTATCTCTTGTCGACAACAAAGAATACGATAAAATGTATTCCTAAACGAACAATTGAATTTCGTTTATGAACATCTTGTGTACCCAATGTTGAACTAGAGCTAATTTGACAACTACCCCAGTACAATTATTCTTTCGCGCACTTTTCTCGTTTCGGACAAACTTTCCGCGTCCCTTCTTTCAGCACTAATCCACTTCTCTAAAACTGCTGCCGTTGAATGTTGGGGGCATCTTGATGAGGAAATAACCTTCACATCCGAGATTCTTAGGACTTCTGCTACACACTCTACTAATATTTATGTCGCCGCACACATATGAGTCCTATCTTGCGACATTGTTCAGTGAAATAACTTTTTTTTTTTCTACTTAGTTTTTTTGAACGTGCACGGGGAATAGGAACTCGGTTACCCGGTGACTTCGTTCTTTACATTTCTTTCGTTCCGCGGCTGCATTGCTGTTCTGTCCAATGGGGTGATGTTGGGACGCAAGGATAAATTGATGGGGTCCTCACCTCCTCCAACCGCTCAAAATTTGTTCTTTCCGCGTTGAATGCTGCTATGGTTAGATTAGAGGGATAGCTACGAGTCACCCACATAGTAAGTGTATTCCATAGACTAGCCAATATGACAACTCCACAGCCCATGGTCTGGTGAATGTGGAAACCATTTGGAATCACTCCTATTGCATATTTCAACATTCTGAATATTGCGTAAAATCCCATGAGTCCACTCATGAATAATCCTTAGATCTGCTGCATAGTATTATGTGCCAACTCCTTCATCTCTTCCGGGTTGATAATGTTTAAAGTAGAGAAACCTTGTCCGGTTGTCTCCAATCCCGCTACCCTACGAGCTATGATGTTTTCCACAGCTTGTCTCGCGTTTCCGAAAGTCAAAATCCTCTTGGCATTGGTTATTTCCTCCTGAGTATATATTCCAAGTGTGCCAATTTGCTGGATAGGGGTGAAGCGCAGCGTTGGATGTGATTCTGGTGATAGCTCTTCTGGTGCCTTTTTAACCGTAGGGTAGGAAGAGAATCCTATCCATTGATCATCTATCAAATACAACGTTGGCGTTAATGCAGTACAATCTACCTCTCCTGCATAGGATTGAATAATTCTTGTTACTGGAGCCATGAATTTGGTCAGATTATTTAATAAAATGTGAAGTTCATGGTAAAATTTTTCGCTTCGTCGAATTGTTACGGTTCGGGGGACGCACTTCATGATATACAGTACTTCCCCAAGTACACGTCCTACATACCCTGCTCTTTCCTTTACCAGCTGACTCAGGGTGTTGGGTACCAGTGGCGCCATCAGGAGGCGATTTTGCAATATCTCTCTTCGTAAGAGACATCGCCGGTGCACAGTATCAGTGTATAACTGGTTCAATTTTCGCATGTACGCTTGTTCTACGTACAAGAATTCACTATTCACTTACACCATTATATCTGCATTATGAGGTGATATGTTGATCTTTAGATTGAATAGATCCTGCTGCTTTCCTTCAATAACCAGTATTCTGGGATGCTCAGTCTGCCATATTTTCACCTGGCAGATATTTATTTTCTCCACTAGAGTTACCGCGAATACTCTGTTGCTGTCCTCCACTACAATTATTCGTTCAGTAGTTAGTTGAATGACAACTTTCTCCGCATGTTCATTATAAAGCAAGCTGAATTTCTCCTCACAGGTTCGTGAAGGGTAGACGTCCCACGTGATTCCTCCCAGGGTTGTGTCGAAGCAGTATCCTTACAAGAATGGGCAGATAACTCCTCCTGATAGAACCAGTTCATTCTCGTCCATCTTGACCCTGGCTAGGTAATCAGTCACCTGAATTTTTATTGTAGCAATGATAACCACATCCTTCCAAGTCTGTCCATTTTCATGGTATGTTGATTTCTGACAAGATCTATCTAAGTCTACTGAACCTCCTATAGTCAGGGTCGCAGTTGTGGTCCCATAGTAATGCTCCCAATGTCCTGTTGGTATATCTTCAACAATTTGTAGCGATGGAGCGTTCGACATTCTTCAGCACCGATACGGTATATGAAATTGGATATACCTCCGGCCACAATAGAAATATGGCTATGCATGCCACAGTGAGTTTTAATTCGCGTAACATCGATTGAACAAGTCCACACCTATTTAAGGTTTATTTCGTCCTTTTGCAGAATCTTGACTCTGCTCGATTCACTTCTATACGCGAATTCCAATTCTGGACACTTCGCGACCTCGCGGATTGGAACAACGGTGGTTTCAATATTTTCGTCCTCACAATCGTAAGGCGATAGTCTATTTCACCTGGGCCATGAACCGGAATAATAGTAAGAAGGTTATTTTCAAGACGATAGCCCGATGACTGTTTAGCTTCATGGTTTCAGTGATGATAGTCCGTGGGTTAAGCCCTAAGTGTGAAATGAAAAATTACTACTACAATAAATTCAACCAAATCGACAAACGTCAAAAACATCAACTAAATTAAGAGTGATCAATTAGTATGTACTTATAACCTATGTATCACGATGTGCTCGCTTACAGACAAAACATGAGCGGCCACCTCGTGCCTGACAACGTAGTACGAAAATGAAAATCACTCTCAATTTGGTGAATTATGAAAACAAAGTGAAATCACAATCTGAAGAATCCCAAATTTGCATTATGAGCTGAAAAAAAAAAAGAAAAGAAACAACGAAGTATATTACTTCGTTACCAATCTTGATGTTGATATGTCAACCGGTCAGGTGGTTGTCTATTTCTCTGTGACCTTCTCAACATTGGCATTGGTTCTTTCAGCAACTCCTCTTCTTCAGATTCATTTTCGGTTTGTCTGTCGTTGGATTCATCATCTTCGCTCATCATTTCATTTTTCCTGTTCATTTCAGGGTCAATGTTCACC